AACCATGAGTCACAGAAACATCTGTGGCTGTTTGGAGAACCTCCAAAGAGGTTCTCAGGAGGTTTAGTGTTTGTACGTTTTCCTTAAAGTGGGAGGCAGGGGCCCACAGTGAGACAAATGATTACATAATTGTGAGACTTTAGTTAGTGCCCAGTAAATCTACATTTTATAAAAGACAATGTGTACATTTGAAGAAAAGGAGAATAGGAAGCATGTCTCAGGAAGGGGTGAAGGAATCAAAAGGATTAATCTTGTCTTTGTTCTTTACCAGGGAAGATAAGCCAGTAGTGTTTTGAAAGGGCTGGTTTAGGGCCAACCATGTGGTGGCTCATGCCTGTAATCCCAGAAATTTGGGAGGTCAACGTGGGCAATCACTTGAGCCCAAGAGTTCAAGACCACCCTGGGCAACATGGTGAAACCCTGTCTCTACTAAAAAATACAAAGAAACTAGCCAGGCATGGCAGCACCCAGGAGGCTGAGGTGGGAGATCACCTGAGCCTGGGAGGTCAGGGCTGTGGTGATTCATGATTGTGCCACTGCACTTCAGCCTGAGCAACAGAGGGAGACCCTGTCTCAAAAAATGGAGGGCTATGGAGGAGTTCTGTTTAGCCCTTAGGGAAGAAAGTCTAATGACTGTTAACGAAGAATGGGTTTGAGACCTCTCTGATCTGTCATCTTATTATGGCCATGAACTCAGTTGCCAAGGTTTCTCTAGGGTTCCCTCAGCCAAGATTTAGTCCATTCAGTCCACTGGAGACTTAGAATTTTGTTTTTTTCTCACTTGTCACAGCTACAAACTTACCTATCTTTTCTTCCTCCTGTGAACCCCCAAAATTTGAGACAGGTCTCAGTTAATTCAGAAAGTTTATTTTGCTGAGGCTGAGGACACGTGCCAGTGACACAGCCTCAGGAAGTCCTGACGACATGTGCTCAACGTGGTCGAGGCACAGCTTGGTTTTATACATTTAGAGAGATGAGACGTCAATCAATATATGTAAGAAGTATATTGGTTCTATCCATAAAGGCGGGAAAAATTCAGGAAGGGGGCTTCCAGGTCACAGGTAAGTGAGAGACAAATGGTTGCATTATTTTGAGTTTCTGATCAGCCTTTTCAAATAAGGCAATTAGAATATACATTTATCTCAGTGAGTAGAGGGATGATTTTGTTTGTCTTTCGATTTTTGAAATGGAGTTTCGCTCTTATTGCCCAGGCTAGCATGCAATGGCACGGTATCAGCTCACTGCCACCTCCTCCTCCTGGTTCAAGCGATTCTTCTGTCTAAGCCTCCCAAGTAGCTGGGATTACAGGCACACACTACCATGCCTAGATAATTTTTATATTTTTAGTAGATATGGTGTTTTACCATGTTGGTCAGGCTGGTCTTGAACTCCTCACCTCAGGTGATCTGCCTGCCTCGGCCTCCCAAACTGCTGGGATTTCAGGTGCAAGCCACTGCATCCAGCAGAGGGATGACTTTGAATAGAATGGGAGACAGATTTGCCCTGAGCAGTTCCCAGCTTGAATTTCCCCTTTAGGTTAGTGATTCTGGGGACCCAAGATATTTTTCTTTCATACCCCTCACTATGCTGGAAAGGTACATCCTTTTCCCCTTGTCTAAAGCTAATTCTTCCAGCTGGACTCTGGACCCCATTCTCTCTTGCTTTATCAGGGACCTGGCTTATACCAGTATTCCTAATATTCCCCTGTTCATCCTACACCTTCGAGCTTACCATTTCCATGATTTGGCCACCTCGGCATGACAAACATGACAGAGCAGAAGTATCGCCACCTTGGACAAGCACTATCATTTTAAGTTCACGTTGATCAAAACCTGCCTAAATCCAACAAAGGGCATCAGCCTAATGGCTAAGGTCAGCGTGACCATAAACCACAAATAACATCTTCAACCAGAAACATTCCAAACCCCTCCTCAACCAGAGACATGCCAGCCCCGAGATAACCTCCCCTCCCAACTGGCTGGGAGAGATAACCCCAAGATAACCTCCCCTCTAACCAGAGACATTCCAACCCCACTGTAAAGTTCTTCCCAACACAGAAACATTCCAAGCTCTCTCACCAATAAATACTTAGTCTGTAAGAGAGGATGCTCCTGACCAAAATCAGCCAGAAGCCCCTCTCAAGTTTGCTGCCCTAAAATAAACCTATCTTTGACTGTTGAGCCACCTTTTGTGTGTCTTTCCTCTTTAACTCTTAAAAAACATCCTTAAATGTCTACTGTCGACAGAAAGAGTCAAACTCTGTAAAATATTTGCAGAGATTCATTCTGAGTTAGATATGAGTGACCATGGCCAGTGATACAGCCTTGGGAGGTTCTGACAACATGCACCCAAGGTGACCATGCTGCAGCTTGATTTTATACATTTTAGGGAGACATAAAGCATCATACATAGAAGATTAGACTGGTTTGGTCTGGGAAGATTGGACAACTAGAAGTGGGGGACTTCCAGGTCATAGATGGGTTCAAAGATTTTCTGACTGGCAGTTGAAAGAGTTTATCTAAATATCTGGAATCAATAATAGAAGGAGTGTCTGGGTTAATATAAGGGACTGTGGAGACCAAGATTCCTACTATGCAGATGAAGTGTCCAGGTAGCAGATCGCAGCGATAATAGATTTGTACATGTTTTTTATCAGACTTAGAAAGGTGCCAGAGTCTTAGTTAATTCTCTCTTGGATCAGGCAAAAGACCTGGAAAGGGAAGGGGATTTTCTACAAAATGTCGATTTTCCCAACAAGAATCAGCTTTGCAGGACCATTTCAAAATATGTCAAAGAAACATATTTTAGGATAAAATACTTCCATTTCTTTCAGGGGCCTGCTGTCTGTCATGTTGGTATCTTTTGTTGTTGTTGTTGTTGGTGGTGGTGGTGGTGAGATGGAGTCTCGCTTTGTTGCCAGGCTGGAGTGCAGTGGCATGATCTCAGCTCACTGCAACCTCCAGCTCCTGTGTTCAAGCTGTTCTCCTGCCTCAGCCTCCTGAGTAGCTGGGATTATAGGCACCTGGCACTGCACGCAGCTAATTTTTGTATTTTTAGTAGGCACAGGGTTTCACCACGTTGGCCAGGATGGTCTTGATCTCCTGACCTTGTGATCCACCTGCCTTGGCCTCCCAAAGTGCTGGGATTACAGGTGTGAGCCACTGCACCTGGCCCATGTTAGTATCTTATTGCTACAAAGGGTATGCTTTGTCAGTCTTAGGGTCTCTGTTTCAGTGTTAATGCTGGTCAGCTGTACCTGAATTCCAAAAAGAGGAAGGTATAATGAGACATGTCTGACCACCCATTCCCATCATTGCTGGAATTAGTGTTTCAGGTATACCTTAGAATGCCCTTGGCCAAGAGGAGGGATCCATTCAATTGGTTGAGGGGCTTAGAATTTTATTTTTGGTTTATACTCCCGTATTAAATCTTCCCACCTGGCTGGGCACAGTGGCTCATGCCTGTAATCCCAGCACTTTGGAAGGCTGAGGTGGGCAGTTCACCTGAGGTCAGGAGTTTGAGACAAGCCTGACCAACATGATAAAACCCCATCTCTACTAAAAATTAGCCAGGCATAGTGGTGTGTGCCTGTAATCCCAGCACTTTGAGAGGCCAAGGCAGGTGGATCACAAGGTCAGGAGTTCGAGACTAGCCTGACCAATATGGTGAAACCCCATCTCTATTAAAAATACAAAAATTAGCCAGGCATGGTGGTGAGTGCCTGTAGTCCCAGCTACTCGGGAGGTGGAGGTTGCAATGAGCCGAGATCGCAACATTGCATTTCAGCCTGTGTGACAGAGCGAGACTCTGTCTCAAAAAACAAAAACAAAAACAAACAAACAAAATTAGAAAACTAGGGCCCAGTAAGGCCATTACTTGTTGAAGGTCATTCAACTGATGATTGGCAATGTCTGAGCTAAAGCCCTATGCTGTCTCCTTAAGTGTTGATTTCATGTATTTGTGTCAGGAGGCTTATAAAGAATCTGATAAAAGCTACAGACTTTTTCTTAGCAGAAAAAAAAGCACCTAACACATGCCAACTACTTTTTTTCATTTAATTTGAAGAGCTTCATGAACTCTTGAAGTACATCTAGACCTCAGGTTATGGAAACCCTAAGCTATCAGAAAAATCCAGTCATCAGATGGAGGTGGTACTGGCTAAAACTTGCTGAAGATTATTCCTTTACTCTGAGAGACTCCTCAACACCCAGCATTTCTGCTTTCTGGGACTCAAATCATCAGCATGCAGAACTACAATCAGAAAAATAGAGTCAGCTCCACTGTAGGCCCCCAAATACTAAGGGATAAAATATTGCATCTTCTGATCCTAAAGCCCATTCTCTTTGCATCATATCAAGACCTCTCATATTCATGCCAAATATACATTAGTTTGTGTGCCTGGTACTTTCCTTCTTAGAGTTCTTGGAGGGGATGGTGGGAAGGTATGAAGAGGACAAGGACAGACTCCTCTGCCTCAACATATCCACATGGTGAGCACCACTGTCTTTTGGGATGCTTCCCCCATCTCAGAAGTATGTGAGTAAATGGTTTCCCTGGCTACCTTCCTGGGGAACTAGTTTGGGGGGAAAGAAAACATCAAAGTACTTGTTGCAAACAAGAACCTCCTCTTTATTCCCCATATAGAAGCTGTGTTTCCAGAGCTGGGAAAGGGCTTTGACCTGGCCCTACCTCTATGTGGGCCCAGAGATGAAGGTCTAGGTCTGGGCATAGTGGTTCACTCCTGTAATCCCAGCACTTTGGGAGGCCAAGGCGGGCGGATCACCTGAGGTTGGGAGTTCGAGACCAGCCTGACCAACATGGAGAAACCCCATCTCTACGAAAAATACAAAATTAGCTGGGTGTGGCAGTGCATGCTTGTAATCCCAGCTACTCAGGCTAAGGCAGGAGAATCACTTGAACCCGGGAGGCGGAAGTTATAGTGAACCAAGATTGTGACATTGCACTCCAGCCTGGGGAGCAAGAGCAAAACTCCATCTAAAAGGGGGAAAAAAAAGAGAGAGATATGAATGTCTGATTCTGGTGACCAGGACTTTCTCCAGTTGGTAATGAAAGGTCCCTACCTCCAGTCAGTGCCAAATTAGGGAGTGGGAGCAGCAATGTGTGTCAGTGCCTTGGTGAGGTGAATATCAGCTTGAGGCAGGCTCTTCCAGGCAAGTTCTAAGATCCCATACTGGGCAATGCCCATGGGAAGGATGGTGTGCACATTGTTCTGCCCAGGGACGGGTACCACACCCTGGAACTCCTGAGGGCCTCTAGCAGTATGAGAGCTGCCACAAAACAGGCAGTAGAGCAGCCGTTCCCCGGGAACTAGCTCTGTGGCTTTTAGGGCCTCTTTGTAGATGATCTCTTGGGGTTGAAGTTCCTCTCCCTGCAGTAACTCTAGTAGAAGCCTCTGGATTCGGGGGGACTTAAGTTGGTACAGCTCCATAAGCTGGTTGAACTGTTCCATCCAAGCAGCACTGTCTTTTCCGTATCGCTGCTGCAGCATCCGCAAAACGTGGTACAGTGCCACAAATGTCTCCCACAAAGGCAACTTTTCCTTTTTTTTAGAAATGGGCTGTGTCTTCTTCTCCAACTTGGGCAATTTGGGAAACCTGCGTTTATCCTTAAAATCCCAGAAGTCCTTTTGAAACATCAGTGCCAGGGTTTGCTTTTCCACAGAGGCATGGACCCTTGGAAAAATGTCTCCTGTGGCAGGATGAAAGTATTGCATTGCCATCTCCTTGTGGGCAATGGATATCTGCTGTGCCCTCTCACTTCTGTAAGGCTCTCCTAGAAGATGCCAATTTTTAGCCCTTGGGTCTGGAATCCTCTTGGTAGCTAATGGGGATTTTCGTGTGGGAACAGCCAGAGGTTCTAGCCAGCTCTCCTTTTCCTTTGCTTGTATAGGAGGAATCACTTTCAGGTATTTTGGACTCGTGGACTCCCTACTTGGTTTTGAGATCCTTGCGCCTTGTAACTCCAGGGCCTGCCTGTAACGGTACACAATGGCTTCAAGTTTGGCCAGATGCAGCCATTCTAAATTTCCCTTTGAGGCAAGGTCTTTGAGGAGCTGGCACAGTCTGTGGAAACTGTCCTTGGAAAGCTCTTCTCCTGCTTCCATTCGTTCTAGGACATGGCAGATCCACTCTACATCTGAGAGGCTTACGTCTGCATTTTGTTCCTTAGCCGGGATTTGGGAGAGAGGGAACTGCACCTCAGTCTGTCCCAGCAGAGACAGATGCTGCAAAAGCCACTTCCACTGGGGACCTAGTGGTTTATGCTGGAGTTCCTGAGCATCCACAGTCTTCCTTAATATGTGGGACATAAATGGGATTTTTAAGTCCTGTTCTTGGGACTCCAAAACTGTATCCAAAACAGGGGGAGGTATGGGTTCATATTTTCCTGACACTTCTCTTTCTTTATCCATTGTCCCTGAGAATTTCCTGGGTATTTCAACTACTGTGGCCTTTTTATCTTCCCAGGATATCTGTTTCTCTGGCACTGGCACTGGTGTTTTCTCTTTCATCTCCAGAGCTATTGACACCAGTTTCTTCAAAGGGGTTTTTAGAACTCTTAGTCTCATAGCCCTGTCTTTGACATGAGAAACTCCTTTTCCAGTGGAAGGGACTTTTTCCCTTCCTCTTAGGCTCTTTCTTTTTTGTTCTTGTAACTTAAATAGTTTTTCTCTTTTTAAGATCTCTTTTTCCTCATCTACCTCTTCTTCCAGTGAGCTGCTCTCTTCTTCATCTTCCTTGTCACTCGAACTTTCTAACTCTTCCTCACTCATAATTTCTTCTTTCTCCTCCAACACTTCTTCCTTCTCCTGAACCTCCTCCTCCTTCTTTTCCTTTTTCTTCTCCTCCTCCTCCTCTTCCTCTACCTCCCCTTCCTCCTCTTCCTTTTCTTCTTCCTCCTCTTCATCCCTTTCATCCTCCTCCTCCTCAGAAGACAAACTCTCTTGCCTCTCTAGTTCATTTAACAGGCTTTCCATTTCTTCATAAAAATGCTCTTCACTTTCCACCTCATCCACTTGACTGGGAAACTTTTCCTTTGGTTCAACTTCCTTGGCCTCTTTCTTCTTTCTCCACCTTCGTTTAAGGAATGGGATTACCTCTTCTTCTTCTGTTCCTCCTTCCACTTCATCATCCAGTGTGACTTCTGAATGTGCTCTGGCCAATCTGTTCTCTTCCTCAGTTATTTTTTCTTCTTTGTTTGTCATTTTTCTCATTTCCTTGGCCAGTTTTCTCTGCTTCCGAGTCAGTTTTTTTTCATCTTTAGTCAGTTCTGACTTCTCAGAAAAATCCCATGCTTTGATATCCAGTTTACTCTGTTCTTTATTCAGTCTGCTCTCCTTAGCAAAGAGTGACCTCTTTATCTTTGTCACCTTTATTTCTTCATTGGTTAGTTTTCTTTCATCCCTGATTAGTTTTTGAAGTGCCTTTAGGATTTTGTTCAGTTTTGCTGGTTCCTTGGAAAGGCTCTCCTTTTTTTTAATCAACATCCTTGCATCCTTGGCTAACTTCCTTTGCTCCTGGGCATATATTCTCTGTCCTCTAGTAAATTCCAGTTTTCCTTTGGCAATTTCCCTTTTCTCTATGGCCAGTATCCTGTCTTCATGTAGCAGTATATTCTCCTCTAGTAACAATTTCCTCTCAGCTAGTTCTTGTTCAACTTTAGTCATTTTCCTTAGTTTTGAAGTTTCGGGAGTCTCTCCCGTAGACGGAATTTCCTTTCCCTCCACTAGTCTCATCTTCTCTTCGGCCAGTCTTTTCATTTCCAGGTTCAATGCCTTTTCTTCCTTAGCAATATCCAACTCTCCTCTGAGCCGTTTCTTTTCTTGGACCATTGCCTTCTCCAGAGCTGATTTCATTTTCTCGTGAGCCAATTTCTCCTGTTTCTCGGCCAGACTATCCTCTACTTGGACCAATTTTTTCTCTCTTTCGGCCAGTTTCTCCTTCTTCTTGATCACTGTCTCCTTTTCCTGTATCAGCTTCTCATCTATCTGAGCCAGTGTCTTCTTGAAAATTTTCAATTTGTTGTTTACTTGGGCTAATTGCTTTCTGTTGTGGGTGAGTCTTTCTTGGCCATAGAGTAGATACTCTTCCCTCTGAGCCAATTTTTCCTTCTCCTGAGCCAGATTCTCCTTTTCCTGAGCCAGATTCTTCTTCTTCTGGTACACTTTCGCCTTGTTCTTTGTGAGTTCTTCCATGTTGTCAGTCCATCTTTCCCTTTGCTGGGCCAGTTTCACCTTCTTTTCAATCAATTGCTCCCTTTGCCAGGCCAGTCTTTCTTCTCCCTCGGGCATTTTTTCCTTGTCCTGGGCCAGTTTCTCCTCTTCCTGGGCCAGTTTTCTCTCTTCTTCAGACAGTTTCTCCCTTTCCCAGGCCAATGTCTCCTCTTCCTCAGCCAGTATCTTCTTTTCTTCAGTCAGTATCTCCTCTTCCTTACTCAGCTTCTCTTCTTTCCTAGACAGTTCTTCCGTGTCCCATGCCAGTTCCTCCAGTTTCTGGGCCAGCTCCTTTTCTTGCCAGTCCAGATTTTGCTGCCTCTGGGCCACTTCTTCCACTTTCTGAACCAATATGCTTTTTACCTCGGCCAGTTTCCCTCTTTTCTTTGCTAGTTTCTCTTCTTCTTTAGCTACTTTCTCGCACTGCTTGGCCAGTTTCTTCCTTTGCCGGGCCAAGTTCTCTGCCTCCTGGCTTAGCTTCTCCCCTCTAAGGGCCAGTGTTTCCTCTTTCTGGGCAAACCTACCTTCTGCCTCGGCCACTTTCCCATCCTCCTGGGTTTTTTTGATATACTCCTGGGCCAGTTGTCTCTCTTCCTGGGCCAATTGTCTCTCTTGTTGTGCAAGTTTCTCTTCTTCTTGTGCTAATTTCCTCTCTTCTTGGGCTCGTTTTTTTTCAGCTCGGGCTTGTTTCCTGTGAATTCGGGCCTGTTTGTGTTCTTCTTGGATCTGTCTCTGCTCTTCTGTGACCTGCTCTTCTTTTTCTTCCGTCTTCCGAGACACTTCTTTCTCCAAAGTCACTACTTCCTCATCCTTGTACAGTTGCTCCTTGGACTTAGATGACAACATGTTTTCCCAGACTTGTTTCCACTCCTCCCATTTCAGCTTTCTCTCATCCTCCTGAAGCATTTCCTCCTCCAGGGATGGCTTCTCTCCAGCCTGGTGTAGTTTCTCCTCTTCCTGAAGAAGCCTCTTCTCCCAGTCTTTCTTCCATGCCTTCCAGGATTTCCTGGACTTACCGTGGACCTGTTTCCACTCATCCCAGGACTTTTTCCAGTCCTGCCAAGATGGTGTCCTCTCAGTCATAACTGGTCTTTGTTCTTGTTCGACCACTTCCTCCTCAAGTGTGGCCATTTCCTCCGCTTCCTCACTCATATCCCTCTCTTCTTTAGTCATTTCCGTCTTTATTTTTCCCCCTTTTCTTTCCCGCTGGACAGCTTTCCTCTCTTGCTTAGGTGACTTCTGAAAGGTTTTCTTCTCTTCTTTCCTTGGTATTTGTTTTCCCTTGGTTACGTCACCTGGTTCTAAAAAAATAACTTTCTTTTTCTTGCCTTTTTTCAAAATCACTTGGGTTTCCTCCAAGCCCGGCATGTCTCTTGCTGTCTTTTGTGCTTGTTCTTCTTCCCTTGGTATCACTTCCTTATGTCCGATCACTTCTTGTGTCACATCTTGTGTCATGTCCTCTCTAATTGCTCCTTCATAGGTAAAACTTGGTTTTTCTTCTGGCGGGACTGCATCCCAATCAAAGTCCTCAAGTAGAACCTTACTTTCTTTCTTCAACAGGGGGCAGATCTCCTGAAAGAGTTCCCAGCTGGGGTGCCTATCTACTAGTGTCTCCTGAGCAAATTTCACTAGCTCAGTGTTTAGATTTTCTGACATTTCTGTTTGGGAACCAGATATCCTCAGGGTCATAAGACGACATAGATCATCCCGCCATGTTAAGCTACCTCCAGCGGTAGACCTGCGGCCAGAGACTCCAGAGGCTCCCCGTCCTTGAAGTTTAAACTTTTTAATAACTGGCTGTTCTATTACAGGAGGTTCCCCAGTTATAACTTGGGCTTCTTCCTTCTTGTGCTTCTTTTTGGGTTTCTGAGCTGTTGCTTTTTTGCCTCTTTTGTCACGTATTTTCCTCAGCCTCTTCAGGGTCAGTGCAATGCGATCCTGTGAGATATCTTTCTCTTGAGAGTCAACATCTTTTAAGACCTTTATTACACTGGTGATTGAAGACCATTTGGAAGGGATGGGTGCTTCCTCCATCTCAATTGATGCAGCCTCAGTCCCACTTTCATCCTCTGAGAGACCCAGTTCTATGCCCATATGTTTAGAGCCTCTCTCTTTCATCTTCTTGAGACCCCGCAACAATTTCCGGCCTGCAGGAAAAATCGAGAGATGGAGGTGAGCAAACCCTGGGAAGCAAAATGAAACCCTTCCCAATATCAGATGTGAGCTAAGAAGAGCTGCCATAAAAAAAGTACCAACAGAGAAGGCTGAGGACTTTAAAAAAAAAAAAAAAAAAAAAAGCGTTCTTTTTGCGTTATTCCTATCCTCCAACTCCTGCCAAATCCTAGAGAGCTGGGCCTTAGAGTCTTCCTGAGTTTGAGTGGATCCTTCTTAAGAGAGTGTCTATAATGAGATCTTTCTACTTAGCTCTCTTCCCACCTTGTATCTTTTTTTTTTTTTTTTTTGAGACAGAGTTTTGCTCTGTTGCTCAGGCTGAAGTACAGTGGTGCAATCTCAGCTCACTGCAACCTCCACCTCCTGGGTTCAAGTGATTCTCCCACCTCAGCCTCCTGAGTAGCAGGAATTACAGGCACACCATCATGCCTGGATAATTTTTGTGTTTTTAGTAGAGACAGGGTTTCACTATGTTGGTCAGGTTGGTCTTGAGCTCCTGACCTCAAGTAATCTGCCCGCCTTGGCCTCCCAAAGTACTAGGATTACAGCCATGAGCCATCGTGTCCAGCCAGCCCACCTGGTATCTCTTGATCCACTTTAACCCTAACTACCCTGCCTCCTGGGGACCCTGAGGCATGGACCAGATTACCCCTTACATACTATGCTTTCTGCCCCCTGCTCGGCCTCGTCGTTGGCCTTTGCTGGGCTTGATGGCTACTTCAGGTTCTTCAGAACTTGTTGAGGCTCTCATGGAAAAGGATTTAAGCTCGGAAAGCTTTGAGACATCTAAAGAAAAAGCTGGCTTTTCATCGCTACTTGACAAGGTCAGATTTTCATTCAATCTCTGCTCCACTTGAGTGTAAAGGATTTGGAGATCTGTGGCCCGCATCCCCAGTAGATGATCCAAGGGTTCCTCCCCGATCATCTCCTGCCTATGAAAGTCAAAGGAGAAGAAGGATTATGCTGAGTCAGGAACAAAAGGGAGAATGGGAAGAAAAGAATGGCTGTGGAACAGGCAGGAGGCTTGACAAAGTGGCCAAGAGAGATGGCATATGTAGACGAAAATAATGGCCGAGATGAAAGAAAGCATCTAGGAAGTCAAGATGGCAACAAACGGAATGATCTGTATTGGAGGCCATAGGCGTAGGAAAAAGGATGAAAATGGAACTTGAAGAGGTAGGGGACACATAGGAAAAGCAATGGAGAAAGGAGGTAGGTATAGTGGCCCAGTGTTACTGTGTTCCTCCATGCATTATGGAGGAGGCTCACACTTGTACTCCTAGCACTTCAGGAAGCCAAGGTGGCAGGAGATTGCTTGAGCCCAGGAGTTCGAGACCAGCCTGGGCAATATAGTGAGACTCTGTCTCTACAAAATGTTATCCGGTGTGGTGTTGCATGCTTGTAGCCCCAGCTACTCAAGAGGCTGAGGCAGGAGGATTGCTTGAGCCTGGAAAGCAGAGGTTTCAGTGAGCCAAGATCATATCACTACACTCCAGCCTGAGCAACAGAGTGAGACCCTGCCTCAAAAAAAAAAAAAAAGGAGGAGGAGGAAGAGTGAGCAGTCAGGGGATTGTCAAGGATAGTAATCTAGGAATGAGCAAAGGCTATGAGAAAGAAGAAAGGTCAGAGAGAATTAATGAACAGTGTGAAGAGATAGCAAAGGAAAGGAAGGGGGAAATGGAGAATGGCATAAAGAACTGAAGGAAGAGCACAAACTTACTGCATCTCCTGAAAAGTCTCTGGTTTCTGGATCAGCTGTAAGAGTGAGGTCCTAGAATGGATTCCAATCTCAGCCATGAGCATTAGGGTCTTGTTCCTCACTCTTTCATCCTTGTCCATTAATCCTTGAGCCAGAGGCACAGCAAAAAGATGAGTAATCATTCCTAGACGCTTCAACCCTTCCCAAGCTAGTTCTCGGATCAGTGGGTTGGAATTGGTTGTATCATCCAGTAGCCTATGGGCTGTCTCAGAGCGTAGGGTTGGAGACACCTGGTAAGAGGCAAAGATTTGCCCTAGTGCAGCAACACAGGATTGGTACTTCAGCGAGGAAGCATGGATCATAATATTGAGCATTGCCTCAATCATGCTGTTAATGGCTATTTCACTCATCTTTCTTCCCAGCCAACTCCGGTTTCCTGTATCTGTAAGGACACTGTAGGTTACTTCCTTGGAAAGTCTCATTTCTAGGAAGTGTTCATCCTCCTCCTTCTTTGGATATTCTATATTACTTATAGTTCTTATCCTGCTGTGCCAGAAAAAGAATTCTTGAGACTTGTCCCATTCCAACTCTCGCTGGGGTGCATGCAGATTGCACTGTAGGTATATTGGGGTGCCCTCTGGCCAAAGACGGGCACGAATCACCGAATTGGGGATATAGCAATCAGGGGCAAAAAGCCATTCCCGCCCATGACCAAAGTAGTATCGCAATATCTGATAGGGGTTGAGTCCATCCCAGCTAGTCAGTTGTAGTTGGGGAGGAAGCACATAATGGTGATGGTAACGTTTGCTCATCTGCATCCAGTCTTCCATGTCCTGCAAAGAATAATACATGGAGGAACACAGTAACACTGGGCTTCCTTCCTCGTCTTCTTCTATCACATGTGGCACAGAATGGTCAAAGGCAATGGCCCGGTTGTTGACAAGTTTCTCCAGACCCACTAATTTCTGTTGCCCTTGTCCAAGGTAGATGTACTTGGGCACAAACATGGTCTCAAAGGAGAAGAAGAAGCTTGGTATGAAAGGCTTAGGGGCTTCCAGTACTTCATCTGGTAAACTCATATAGGAAAGGTGAGTCAGCAGGGCTGGGGGGAACAATTTTAAACAGGACACCAGGTAAAGACTCTGGTTGAAAGTCACAAGCAGGTCACCCCGGTCATTTGCAAAACAGAGTGGGCCAAAGTGCAGTGATGAGTCCAGAATGGCTATGAGTCTGCCATGGAAGTCCCAGATCCGAACAGAGCCATCTATAGAACCTGTGACGAAAACACTCAAGGACAGGCAGACGTCAAAGGATGTGATGGCACACTGGTGCAGAGGCAGTGTTTCTATAAATTTCAAGCCATCCTGTGACCCAGAGGACAGAAAATTATGGAACTTCCAGAGACGCAGGCAGTTCGTCTCTGTGATGGCACCCACAGACTTGGGCAAGAGTATCAGATGTGTGAGGTGACAGCTGCTGAGAATGCTGGCGAGAGGCTGCAGATGCACTTTGACCCCACCAAGCACAACTTCTGACAGGTGCACATAGTCATCCATTCCATAGGAACAGAGCAGAGAGTTTCTTCGGCCACCCATATTCCCTCCAGACAATGTGGAGAGTGCCAGTACAGCACCAAAGTGCATGAATTTTTCTAACCGGGCACAGCTGTGCTGGGAGAGCACTCTTATCACACCACTCTGGTGCCCAGAGAATATCAGTCCCTCCAGGCCCCGCCCCAATTTAAAATGCCCGTAAGCCAGGCATTGTACAAAGTCCTGAGAATTTGGGGAGGTGCATAAGAGATACTTGGCTGGGCAAGGGCAGCGGGTTGTGTCAAATACCAGCACCTCGGAGCTGCCTGTTGCTACAAAGAGCTCCTCTTTACCTGGGTCGTAGGCCCAATCCACAGCCCGGTCCAGGATTGAGAAGGGCCAGGTGATAACCAGAAGATCCCCTGTTATTGGGGACACAAAGCGCAACAAGCCATCCTCAGTAGTACACAGGATCCGGAACCAGTTATCCCCACAGCAGACCCGACGCAACTGCTGGGGAGCAGAGCCACAGACATTGAAGAGGCTGTAGAAGCAGGGTAGGCGGCGCAAGGAAAAACTGTGGGCAGTTTGGCAGAAGAAAGTAATGCTGTCAATAAACTGGAGCCGGTACAGCTCCTCACCAAGCTCTAGCCGCCGGAGCAGGTTCCCTGAAGTCAGGTTCCACTCCTTGATTAGGCTGTCACTTCCAGCTGTTAGCAGGGTGTGGGCCTCTGGTCGGCTACGGATACAGATCACTGCCGACTGATGGGCCTGGAAACTGTGGAGTGGATTGCCCTGATGGAGGCTCCAAACTTGGATTTCCCCAGCTTGGTTTCCAGCATAGAGAAATCCCTGATCAAAACAGGTGAAGCAGCAGGTGATGGAGGAGCCACTGCTGGTAGATGTGAACCTCTTCACCTCTCCCAGCTGGCCCTTGCCCTGGCGCATAAGGACCCTCACCACCGTCTCACACAGGGCCAAGAGGGAGCCATTGGGACCATTTAGCACGATGTCCTGGACAAGCTCATCACCTGGCATGGAGACTACGTGGGCTATTTGGAGGCCTGTGCCACCTCGCTCAATGACCCAGGTGACCACTGCCCCCAGGATGCCAGACAGCAGCATCTTCATTTCTGGGTCATAGCAGAGGCAGCTGATGTTGAAGCGGCAGGGCACTTTACCTAGGGGTTTGAATGCCCGAAAGTGGTCCCCAAAGAGTCGCAGGATCAGGTCACCACAGTAGACCACAAGGATATGAAAGGAACCTGTGTGGACCATGGACTGGATGGGTGGCAATCGTTCAGTCATGGAAAATGTTCTCTTCTCAACCATGTCCTCAGTTTTGCTCTTCATCCATACTACAGCCTAGAAGAGAATAAGATGGAAACTGCCTAGAGATGATAGTAGAGGAGGAAAGGACAGAATGTTCCCATATTTCCCCATGTTTTGTGCTAAGGAGGGATTAGAGGATGCTAGAGTGAGATTTTATCCCTTAGTGATGGGAATTGGAAGTACAGTAGAGGCAGGAAGCCTAGGACCTTTTTCCTAACTTTGGTCTACTTCAGGGAACCATGAAGCCTACTTAACTTGGGGACTATAATTGGAGAAAGGATGAGGGGGGATTCCTGGTTTCAGACCACATTTATTCATGGAGAATATCTTCCTTTGTCAATCTGGGTTAAGAGCTCCATAGAGAGAATGGGCCAAGAAGGGGAAGGAGAAGGGGAAGGAAGGCAGTCTTTTTTTTTTTTTTTTCTTTGAGACAGAGTTTCACTCTTGTTATCCAGGCTGGAGTGCAATGGCGCGATCTTGGCTCACCGCAACCTCCGCCTCCTGGGTTCAGGCAATTCTCCTGCCTCAGCCTCCTGAGTAGCTGGGATTACAGGCATGCGCCACCATGCCCAGCTAATTTTTTTGTATTTTTAGTAGAGACGGGGTTTCACCATGTTCACCACAATGGTCTCGATCTCTTGACCTCGTGATCCACTCGCCTCGGCCTCCCAAAGTGCTGGGATTGCAGGCTTGAGCCACCGCACCCAGCCTGGCAGTCTTACCTGTATTTCTTTTGTGCTCGATGTCACCCAAGAGAGGGAGGCGAAGAAGTAGGCATCACTGAAGTAATAGCATACACACGGCATATTTTGAGGATAGCGAGACTCTTTGAACAGTATCTGGGACCGGTCGCTCAGCACAACTAGGTAATTCTTTGGATCTTCTAAAGGTTGCTGGAGAGAGGCGTGGCATAAACTAAGAGGCCAGGACACACAGGCACTAAACATATTCTTGCACAAGTCACAACTGGAGCAGTTCCCAAAGTCATGCCTCCCACTCCTGTTCCACCTACCTGTGCACAACTTATCACCTGCGGGACAGTTACACTTCACAAGTGTGTAACAAATCCCCCAATGCATGAAGGAACCCAACCATGCAGGGCCTCTGTGGCCAAATCTTCTAGTGTGAACACAGGGAAAAATGATGTTATTTCCAACATGAAGTTAGCCATGCCTTCTGCCCTCTAACACTTTTTTTTTTTTTTTTGAGACAGAGTCTTCACTCTGTTGCCCAGGCTGGAGTGCAGTGGCGCAATCCGCTCATTGCAACCACCTCCCGGGTTTAAGCGATTCTCCTGCCTCAGTCTCCCGAGTAGCTGGGACTGCAGGTGCATGCCACCACACCCAGCTAATTTCTGTATTGTTAGTAGAGATGGGGTTTCACTATGTTGGCCAGGCTAATCTCAAACTCCTGACCTCATAGTCCGCCTACCGTGGCCTTCCAAAATGCTGGGATTACAGGCGTGAGCCACTGTGCCCGGCCTAATTTTTTTTTTTTTTGTATTTTTAGTAGAGATGGGGTTTCACCATGTTGTCTAGGCTGGTCTCAAACTCCAGACTTCAGGTGATCCTCCCACCTCAGCCTCCCAAAGTGCTGGGATTACAGGCACGAGCCACCACATCCGGCCCCCTCTAACATTCTTGCTTGTGTCTAGAAGGTACACGTACCATAAAAGATACAATATTTAACAGAATATTCAGACAAGTACACCACCTTACACCCACATGGAATATAGCAGAGTCTCCCAAAGTCAGTGCAGCTCTAAGTTACTAAAGCTTAAAGCTGCACTAAGTAAGATTCTTGGGACACCCCATCTGGCCTTTAAATCTGACAGAAAATAAACATGTATACAACATATATATTATCCCACAGTGATAGAGTACATGCTATCAAATATGCATCTGGGATCCTTTTTTATTTTTAAGACAGGGTCTCCCTCTGTGGTCCCAGGCTGGAGTGTAGTGGTCTGATTTCAGCTCACTGCAACCTCTACCTCCCATGTTCAAGCTATCATGCCTCAGCCTCTGAGTAGCTGAGACTACAGGCATCCACTGCCACACCTGGCTAATTTTTTGTATTTTTAGTAGTAGAGATGGGGTTTCACCACGTTGCCCAGGGTGGTCTCAAGACTCCTGAGCTCAGGCGATCCACCTGCCTCAGCCTCCCAAAGTGCTGGGATTACAGGCATGAGCCACCATGGCTGGCCCTGGGATCCTTTTACGCAGAGCCAACCATAGCAAAACAGATTGGCAATTGTTCTCTCTGTTGCCTTCTCCCCTGTTTTAGAAAATCTCTCTTTCCAGAAGGTCAGTTCCTCTAACAATGCTCCAGCATGTATACTTTCCACTATCGAAATGTCCTTGTGAGGCCAGGTGTTGTGGCTCACGCCTGTAATCCCAGTACTTTGGGAGGCTGAGGTGGGTGGATCACCTGAGCTCAGGAGTTTGAGACCAACCTGGGCAACAGGGTGAAACACTGCTTCTACTAAAAATATAAAAATTAGCTGTGCATGGTGGTGCACGCCTGTAATCCCAGCTACTCAGGAGGCTGAGGCAGAAGATTACTTGAACCTGGGAGGTGGAAGTTGCAGTGAGCCAAGATCGTGCCACTGCACTCCAGCCTGGGCAACAGAGCAAGACTCTGTCTCAAAAAAAAAAAAAAAAAAAAAGAAAAAAGAAAAAACAAAAAGAAAAAGAAAAAGAAAAAGTCCTTGTGAGAGGTCTGTGACTGATGGAAATTGATGGCCTACTTCCTACTAAGGGGATAATTGTCTTTATGGTATACCCTGTTTGCTTCCTGTTCTCAAGGACAATCTGTGGCTCTTCTGAAATGCTCATTACTATAAGACAGGTAGCAGCCAACCCATAATACATTTATGTCCTACATATATATTACCTTGCTTTTATTTACGACGTCATTTATGAGAAGTTTTAAATCTTTCCACAGGGGAATGAGTCTGGGGGAAGACATCACCGTGAGTATCCCTTGGCCCTCCTGAGGACCGTTGCTTAAAAACCTGTGGGAATCCAAGAGAGCCTGGCTTAGTCACTGCCACTTTCCAAGCAGCTAAGACTCAGAAGGCAAGAACGATGAACTCATGTTTATTGAACACCTCCTGAAAGTCAGGAACTGTGCACAAGACATACCTTCTCGTGTCATCCTCTCTACAGCCCAGTAAGGTAGGCATTACCTCGTTTTATAGATGAGAAAACTGAGGCTTGGAGAGAGCCAATGGGGAGTGAATCCTAGCATGTTTCTATCATAACCTAGTAAGATATATGGGTGAGAGAAGCAGAGAAACCTAGATAGGGGCTGGGAAATAATACTCTCACAGGCAAATAATAGTCCTTCACATTTTGTGGTATGTCCAGAGAGCATTTTGTGGGTTCCTGATTCCTGGGGGTAGGTTTTGTTTATTTATTTATTTCTGAGACAGAATCTTTCTCTGTCGCCCAGGCTGGAGTGCAGTGGTGCAATCTTGGCTCATTGCAACCTCCATCTCCCAGGGTCAAGTGATTCTCCTGCCTCAGCCTCCCAAGTAACCGGGACTACAGGTGCCTGAGACCATGCCCAGCTAACTTTTGTATTTTTAGCAGAGATGGGGTTTCACCCTGTTGGTCAGCCTGGTCTTGAACTCCTGACCTCAGGTGATCCCCCATCTTGACCTCCCAAAGTGTTGGAATTACAGGCGTGAGCCACTGCGCCCAACCACTTGGGGGTAAGTTTTTAAACAATTAAAAAATCAAGTGATCCTCCTGCCTCAGCCTTCTAAGTAGCTGGAACCACAGGCATGTACCACCATGCCTGGCTAACTTTTTAAACTTTTTTTTTTGTAGAGATGGGGTTTTGCTATGTTACCCAGGCTGGTCTAGAACTCCTGGGCTCCAGCTTCAGGATCCCAAAGTGCTGGGAATACAGGTGTGAGCTACAATACCGATCTGTAGGTCTTAAAATGCATATTGCTGGGCTCCTGCCCCAGCCCTACTGAATCAGAAGCATGGAAGTGGGACCCAGGAACCTTCACTTGTAATGAGCTCCCTGGGTGATTCTACTAACATTTGAGTCTGACTGCTGAAATAAGAAATGGAGATACGGGGCACCCAGACTAAGAGTCAGCCCCAGCTTGCACATACGGGGAGAGGATAGAGCCATCTGGCCTTGCAGCAGGCTTCCCTGGCCTTGTGGAATCAGGTAGCTCATTTTTGTTTGTTTGCTGAGATGGAGTTTCAATTTTAGTATATGTGCTGCTGAAGCGAACACTTGTTTGTTGAGATGGAGTTTCATTCTTTTTGCCCAGACTGGAGTGCAATGGTGCAATCTCACCTCACTACAACCTCTGCCTCCTGGGTTCAAGGGATTCTCCTGTCTTCGCCTCCCAAGTAGCATCACCATGCCCAGCTAATTTTGTATTTTCAGTAGATACGGGGTTTCACCATGTTGGCCAGGCTGGTCTTGAACTCCTGACCTCAGGTGATCTGCCTGCCTCGGCCTCCCAAAGTCCTGGGATCACAGGCATGAGCCACTGAGCCTGGCCTCAGGTAGCTCTCTTACAGGAGGTACATCTGCTGTTCATTTTCCTTAGCCTTCATGGGGACAAACCTCTACTTTTCCTGATTGTACAGTGAATTACTTTTAACACTCCCCCTCTGTCAGGGAGTCTCTCATGACTGATGTGACAATGGGCTAGTTTTTCCTCATTTGTAAAATAAAAATGCCACTGTTGGTTATGTCACAGGATTGTTGTAAAAATTTAATAGGATTATTTATATGAAAACCCTTTTAAGCATACTCTGAAACGACAAACACTTATGATTGCTGTTTGTAGGCCAGCCTAGTTCTCAGACGGGTGACCACTCCTCTTTCCTTCCCACTCATACTTCCTGCTTTTCAGGTGCTCTCGAAACATATGACAGTTAAATTTATAGTCTGGCCAGCAGAGGGCAATGGAACCCAACCTTGCCTTCCAGATGAAGAACTTCATCTGTTCAGAGAAATAGTGGGAACTTAGAAATGCAAATTATTGTGCCTCATCCCATACCTACTCAATTGAAAATTCTGAGGTTAAGGGCCATCAATATGAGTTTTGTTGTTGTTGTTTTGTTTTTAAGATACAGGGTTTTGGCTGGGTACAGTGGCTCATGCCTTTAATCCTAGCACTTTGGGAGGCCAAGGTGGGCAGATCACCTGAGGTCAGGAGTTCGAGACCAGCCTGGCCAACATGGTGAAACCCTGTCTCTACTAAAAATACAAAAACTAGCCGGGCGTTGTGGTGGGCGCCTGTAATCCAAGCTACCTGGGAGGCTGAGGCAGGAGAATCACTTGAACTCGCGAGGCAGAGGCTGCCATGAGCTGAGATTGTACTAATGCACTCCAGCCTGGGCAACAGAGTGAGACTCTGTCTCAAAAAATAAATAAATAAATAAATAAATAAATAAATAAAATAAAAGGCATCATCATAGCTCACTGCAGCCTTGAACTCCAGAGCTCAAGTGATCCTCCCACTTCAGCCTCCCAAGTAGCTAGAACTACAGGCATGTGCCACCACACCTGGCTAATTTTTGTTTCTTTGTTTTGATTTTGTAGAGACAGGGTCTCACTATGTTGCCCAGGCTGGCCTTGAGCTCCTGGTCACAAGTGATTCTCCCAACTTGGCCTCCCAAAATCCTGGGATTTTAGGCATGAGCCACCATGCCTGGCCTGTTTTGTCTTTTTGTTTCAATTTTTGTACAGATGGGAGTGGGGGTGGGGTGGGAGTGGAGGTGGGGCAGGGGTGGGGGCCTGTCACCATGCTGTCCAGACTGGTCTTGAACTCCTGGCCTCAAGCAATTCTTCCCACCTCAGCTTTGCAAAGTGCTGGGATTACAGGCATGAACCATTGCACCTTGCTTCAACAATAACTAAAGTGTGAGAAGCACTGGTTTAAGAGAACTGTTGGGAGTCCCAATTCATTTGGTCTGGGCTTCCTGAAGCAAGGTCTGCTGAACCCACCCTCTGGTATAGTGAAGCCAGGGCTCTGTATTGCCACAGAGACTTGCTCACTGGATTTGGGGTGGGGGAAAGCAGCAGACCAAACTTATCATCTCACATGCAGACAGTGGAGGAGAGTCCACAGAAAAGCTTTCAACATCAATCATTTTGTTAGTTCTTGAAAGAATCCTGAGAGGCAGATGTCATCATCTCCATGGTATAAAAGAGAAACATGACCTCAGAGAGGAAAAGGGGTGTGTTTGAGTGTACATAGGGCAGATCAAGACTAAGATCCAATCCACAGTTCAGGATTCTTCTACTGTATCAGAGGAGGAAGAGGTTTTGCCAGCTGATACTAAGGCTCTCTGATCTACAGATCCACTCACAATGGGAGCTTGGAACTGGCTAGCAGCACACAGCATCCTTCATCTCTTTCCACACTCCTCAGACTGCACGCTGCCCACCTGTGATAACTTACTTCCTCCACTCTGTTTCTGAACACGTTTCAGGCTCCAGTGTGATTGGCTTGAGATCCTGCACAGCAGTGGATGGCCCTGCAGGAGTTACCCCAGGCCAAAGTAGGAGGCTCACTTGCTTGTGGCCAGAAGTTCAAGGCCAGCCTGGGCAACATAGTGAGACCCTGTCTCTATTTAAAAAAAAAAAGTATCCAGGTGTGGTGGCATGCATCTGTACTCCTACCTGGGAGGCTGAAGTGGGAGGATCACTTGAGCTCAGGAGGTTGAGGCTGCAGTGAGCTATGATGGCCCCACTGCATGCCAGCCTGGATGGCAGAGCAAAATCCTATCTCTTAAACACACACACATACCCCAAACAATAATCACAGCTCAGAGTTACCCCTTCTTGCAGCTCCAGAGCTGCTGAGAGAGTAGTCATTTGTAGCAAATTTGCAGTCACTGACATTACTTCCCATTATTCCAAATATGTCCACTGGGTCCCACTTCTCTTGACCAGCCTACAAAGAGCAATTGGCTGGGACTATTTGGGGGAACATTTCTAGGGGCTGACTGAGTGAGAAGGAGGGCTTTCAAACCCCAAATCTCTATGTTTATTTAATTTTATATGCTTTTTTTTTTTTTTGAGACAGGGTCTTGCTCTGTTGCCCAGGCTGGAGGGCAGTGGTGCAGTCACAGTTCACTGCAGCCTCAAAAATCCTGGGCTCAGGCAATCCTCCTGCCTCAGCCTCCTGAATACCATCCCCACACCTGGCTAATTTATTTAAAAAAATTTTTGTAGAGACAGGTTCTCACTCTGTTGTTCAGGTGATCTCAAACTCTTGGGCTCAAGTGATCCCCCTGCCTCAGCCTCTCAAAGTGTTGGGATTATAGGCATGAGCCACTGCACCTGGCCCTTTATGTTTATTTATTTGCTACTGTCTCCCACTTCGTAGACCAGTTTCCTTGGGTTAGCCCCAGAGGGGCTCCCTAATCAACTCCCTAATCCTAGTGCCCGTCCTTAAAAGCAAGTTTGTAGTGAGTTCCAAATGCTTTAATTCCAATGGTCTTGATTGTTTAATATCTTTTATTTTTAATTTATTTTTAATTTTTTTTGAGATGGATTCTCATTCCATCACCCAGGCTGGAGTTCTGTGGTGAAATGTCGGCTCACTGCAACCTCCACTTCTGGGGTTCAAGCGATTCTCCTGCCTCAGCCTACTGAGTAGCTGGGATTACAGGCACACACCACTATGCCCAGCTAATTTTGTTTTGTTTTGTTTTGTTTTAGTAGAGATGGGGTTTCACCATGTTGGCCAGGCTGGTCTCTAACTCCTGACCTCAGGTGATCTGCGTGCCTCAGCCTCCCAAAGTGCTGGGATTGCAGGTGTGAGCCTGGCCGATTGTTTAATATCTCAACACAAAGATAATCTATGGGAGAATTTAAGCTCTGTGGCCAATTTAGTGTGAAGGGTATTTGGGACCAACGAATGTTATTCCTGCTGAGTGTGGAGACAAACCAGGTGCGTGATTGGGCATTGACACTGGAACTATATTCCTTTTCTTAGCAGCAGTCCACTGTAAGGTACAGTGTTGGTGGCCTGAGAGAAGGCAAACCTCCCACGAGCGTTGTCTTCTTAAAGAGAATTAACTCTAGGGGGCGCTGCACTCCACGACAAGGTCAGGCCCCTGGGGTCCCTTTGGCTCACTCGTTGGCTCCGATGTGCTGTTAACAGGTGTGTGTGGGGGATCCAGGCAGGTTTCTTGCTCCCTAGAGCTTACAGTTATCAAAGAAGAGATATAAAATAGATTACAATGGGAAATTCTAGGTGATGGGTTACATTATCCTTTAGAACTTTTCTGCAACTTTTGTCTCAAATTAAATTCAGTTTTTAAGTACAAGGTGCTTTGAGGACATATAACAAGGAGAACTGACCACCCAAAAGGAAGGTGATGTGCGCACCACACTGTGAGATAGGGCCCTACATGGATTCAATAATCTTGCAGGTGGTCTCACATTTGGGGGACAGGGGTGCAGAAAGTCTAGCTGGTATCAGAAGGTCCTAATTAGTTGACTGTAAAGTCAGAGGGGCCACCTAGGCTTACTTGATTCTTTGAATGACATTAGTAATCAGGAGTCCAAGTGTGTTCCCAGGGCCCAGGAGTGCTACTGTGGCCTTCAAGTGGCTGCGTAGCTAGGGCTGGGGTTGGAACACATTTGACTTGTTTTTTTTTTTTTTTTTTTTTGAGACGGAGTTTCGCTCGTTACCCCAGCTGGAGTGCAATGGCGCAATCTCGGCTCACCGCAACCTCTGCCTCCTGGGTTCAGGCAATTCTCCTGCCTCAGCCTCCTGAGTAGCTGGGATTACAGGCATGCACCACCATGCCCAGCTAATTTTTTGTATTTTTAGTAGAGATGGGGTTTCACCATGTTGACCAGGATGGTCTCGATCTCTTGACCTCATGATCCGCCCACCTTGGCCTCCCAAAGTGCTGGGATTACAGGCGTGAGCCACCGCGCCCGGCCACATTTAACTTTTTTAATGGGAAGGAATAATTTTCCAGGCTGACAAACATACATTAACAGGGTGGGCTAGTTCCTGTTGGATGGAAGAGTTACTCTGGATCCCTGAGAAGTAATGACAGTATCCAGGATTAATTAGGTTTTAAAGTAGTAACCTGGCACTTTACATATATATTAATTCTTATTTGAGACAGGGCCTCTGTCACCCAGGCTGGAGTGAAGTGGTACAATCATGGCTCACTGCAGCCTCGACTTCTCTGGCTCAAGTGATCCTCCTGTCTTAGCCTTCTGAGTAGCTGGGACTACAGGCTAGTGCCACCACACATGGATAATTTTTGTCTTTTTTTTGTAGAGATGAGGTTTCACCACGTTGCTAGTCTCAAACTCCTGGACTCATAGGATCCACTTGACTCAGCTTCCCAAAGTGTTGGAATTACAGGCATCAGCCACCACACCCAGCCTATTTTGTTTAATTCTTACAATTATTCTAATAACTTAGCTATTATCCTTCCTGTAATCAACATCTTTTGAAAATGGACATGGAAAATATTGAACATGTACTAAGGGGCAGATAAGGGGAAAAAAGTCACCTTTTCACCTCTAACTATCTGGTCCTGTTTCCCCTTCCCAGAGGTAGTTCTGGTTGTGTCTTTCTTTTGTGGGTGTGTGTGCTTTTTGTTTTGTTTTGTTTTTTTAAGACAGAGTCTCTGTTGCCTAGGCTGGAATGCAGTGGCATGATCTTGGCTCACTGCAACCTCTGCCTCCTGGGTTAAAGTGATTCTTAAGCCTCAGCCTCCTGAGTAGCTGGATTACAGGCATGCACCAGCACATCCAGCTAATTTTTTGTATTTTTAGCAGAGATGGGGTTTTGCCATGTTGGCCAGGCTGATTTTGAACTCCTGACCTCAAGCGATCTGCCTGCATCAGCCTCCCAAAGTGCTGCGATTACAGGTGTGAGCCAATGTGCTTGGCCTTTCCTGTCTATTTCTAAAAGTGTTCTGTACATACACAAGCATATATGTAAAAAGTATTTTTTTAATCTTTATCTCTGTACTTTAGGATAAAAGTATTTTTCTTATAAAAGTGTAAGTATACTGTATACACTGTTCTTCACCTTTTTTTCTCTTAATATAGCTTTGAGATTAATTCATATTAATACATACAGCTATTTCCCAACAGTTGCTAGCTGCAGGGTATTTCACTGTGTGGCTGAACTATCATTTATTTATTCAAATTTCTATTAATGAACATTGGGTAGTTTCCAGACTTTTGCTACTAGAGCTAATACTACAAATGAATATCTTTGTTAGTGCCTCATAAAGTTTTAATTTTATTTGATTTTTAATTAACTTAAATTGTAGAACTGAGGCTGGAATTATGCCTGTAATTCCAGCACTTTGGGAGGCCGAGGCAGACAGATCATGAGGTCAGGAGATTGAGACCATCCTGGCCAACATGGTGAAACCCCATCTCTACTAAAAATACAAAAATTAGCTGGGTGTGGTGGCACATGCCTGTAATCCCAGCTACTCGGGAGGCTGAGGCAGAAGAATTGCTTCAACCAGGGAGTCGGAGGTTGCAGTAAGCCGAGATCATACCACTGCACTCAAGTCTGGCAACAGAGCGGGACTACATCTCAAAAAAAAAAAAAAAGAAAGAAAAAGAAATGTAGAACTGAAACAATGAAAACATTTTTCCATTAAACCTAACTTGGAATAATATTTTGGATATATTTGAGTTTAAATAAAATATTAAAATTAATTTCATGGCTGGGCAAAGTGGCTCATGCCTATAATCCCAGCATTTTGGGAGGCTAAGGTAGGAAGATGGCTTGAGGCCAGGAGTTCAATACCAGCCTGGGCAACATAGCAAAAAAAAGAAAGAAAAGAAAAAGGTAAATAAATGATAATGATAAATAAAATGAATTTTACCTGTTTATGTAAAATTTAAAATTGCATACATGGCTTGCATTACACATACAAACACACACAAACTTTTTTTTTTTTTTTGAGACAGGATTTGCTCTGTGGCCCAAGCTGGAGTGCAGTGGTGCAATCATGGTTCACTGCAGCCTCACATTCCTGGCTCAAGGGATACTCAGTCTCTTGGAATAGCTGGAACGATGGCCACAAGCCACCACACCTAGTTTTTTAGTTTTTAGAAGAGATGGTTTCTTGCTGCGTTATCCAGGCCAGTCTCGAACTCCTGGCTTCAAGTGATCCTCCTGCCTCGGTGGCTCAAAGTGCAAGGTATTCTTCTCTTAGGTAGTATTGCTCTATATTGTCGTGGTCAAATGGTGGCCTGATATCCCTACTGGACTGAAAGCTCCCTGAAGGTAGGACTCCAGGCTGTCTGGATTTCTCCTGTGTCTCTATAATCACCCAACCTGACACGCAACAGAGCTTAATACATTTTTGTTGAATGATTGGGCAAATGAATGACTCTCTGTGTTCTCTGAGGAAGAAATATATGCTTCCCAGCTTCAAGTGTTAGTGAACATCTTCCTAGAAGGCAGGCTGAGATGGAAAGGATATTGACTAGGGCTTCTTGACCAGAGGACCTTGCGATTCTAGTCAATTCCCGAGGTAACTCTTACCGAGGGACATTACAAAAGGAGTGTGGAGGTGGGAGGAGTCCGCTGCATGGTTATGTCAGCAGGCGTCTTAAATTTGAACAAAATTTCCCAAGGTGTAGGTACTCTACAAACACTGGTTACCCTTAGGAATGTGCAATTAACGAAAGAATGCAAGATAACAAGGCCCCTACGCAGTCCCCTGGGTCTTGTCGCTCCGGTCGAAGGCAGAGCTCTGGAGCCGCCTAGGCCGCGGAGAGGCGACTCCACCCGAGGTCCCTCACCCTCGGGCACCCTACACGGGCGAGAGGCAGGGCGTCAGTCTCAAAGCATGGGGTGCGCCTGTTACCTGCGACAGGACTCCCGACAAGGCACGGTTACGGCGTGTGCACTCAGGAGTTCCTAGAGCTAGGAGTAGCGACTGAGAAGCAACCTGGCAGATGCTGCGGGAGGACTCCGCCCACGGAGCGGTTGGCCCCCAACCCCACGGCCGGTGGACTCCCCGAGGCCAGGGGTCTGAACGCGCGTGCGCATGGGCGCGCGCCCGGCGCGAAAACCCGCGCGCGCTCGAAAGGAAAAAAAAAATCCTCTCCGCGGGGTCCCGCGGCAATTTAGGTCGGGGTCTGCCGGCGACCGCGCGTGCGCGAGCGCGCATCGACGCCCTCCTCCGCCGTCCCCTCCATTGGGGGTCTAGCGCACTGCTCCGCTTCTCCCGCTTTTCTCAGGCTAGCGTCCTAGGGATGAGTGACTCGAGGCCGGCAGAGTGAGGGAGAGGTTCCGTCGAATGAAGGGAGGAGGCAGAAGGAGCTGAGAGAAAGGAGAAACCGCCCCAGCGGGGTAAAGAGCATGGCTCTCGAGCTGGAATCTGCAGAAGACACACCTCCCTCCCTCACGCCCCTCGGGGCTGCGGAAGTGCTCTGGAGACTGGAGCTGCTCTGAGGCGACCAGTGTACTACCGTTCCCAGGAGGCAGCGCGGCGGTGCGCCTACGGCTCCCGGCAGTCCCCGCGCGCCAGGCTCTCTTCAGTTCGCCGCCGGCTAGGGCGAAACTACAGTTCCCAGGAGGCCTCGCGCGAAGCGGCTTGGAAGTGGGCAGCCTGGAAGTCACTCGGGCCACCGGAGCTGGCGGCGTCTCCAGCGAGCGGCGCGGAGCCACACTCCGCGGTCTTGAGGCCCGCCGGGTGGGCAGCCAGGACGTAGGTATGTGGCTCCGGGTGCGGGATCGGCCTCGCGCAAGGGTGGCGGGGAATTGGTAGCTGCCCGGACCCCGAGGGTCAGCGCGGGTGGACGGCCGGGTGTGGGTACTGGCCGTGGGGGGCGGCGGCGCCGGGACTTGCGCCCTCCGGACCTAGCCGGACTCATACCCGCATGGCTCAACTTTCCAGGCGTGCACCCCGGCGCTGTGGGGAAGAGCTTGGAGGCGGGGAGTGGTGGATTCGCGTCCCGGCTGTGCCACTCGGGAGCTGCGATCTGGGGAAACCGCGCCGAACCTCAATTTCCCCTGCAGTAAAACGAGTAGGAGAGTGTCTTGCGGAGATTCTGTTGAGATAATGGAATAAAACATTTGGCACATAGGAGGCACTTACTACGTGTTTGGGTTATTGTTAGGTCCCCGAAAAATTAGGTGAAGATGTTATCGATTGCATTAGGGTGAGGATTAGTTGAGCGTGTGCATATAAAGAGGTGAGTCCATAGTTAGCACCCAATGCAGGGTAGCTGCTGTTAACCCAGATTATTTTGCTAAGAGCGTTGATTTGGAAGGCAGAGAGACCCCAGGTTCATATTTGAACTCTGTCGTTTACCGGCTGTGTGACTTTGAGCAACTGGCTTCACCTTTCTGTGCCTTGGTTTCCCTGTCTATAAAATGGGGATTTAAATAGCAACTACTTCCTAGAGTTGTTTTCAGGATGCAGTGAGAATACCATGTGTAAAGTGCTTAGCACAGCAGCTGGCACATAACGCTCAGTAAATGGTACCATTTATTCAGCGTTTTCCTAGTGGCCCGGAGACCCTCTGAGGGTGGGCTCTGGCTGTAGACTTGGTTTCTCCGCCGGGCCAGATTCAGAACTGGTCTAGTTGACTTCCCGTCCTACAACCTCAGGTTCCTCATTTACAAAATGGGATAATAACAAGATCACTCTCAAAGGGTTGTAAGGATTTGCTGAGATTGTATTTCTAGTTCAGCGCCATCTCTCACTAAGTAGCAGCTCTTATGTATTATAATTGTTCTTCAATATTCTCCATCTGGCCCAGAGAATGCCTGACTGTGGGCTGTGACATGACAGCCCTGAGCTCCCCCACACGTTTGCTCCCAGCCTCAGTGTCCCATCTGTGGAATGGTAGTCATAGGACTTTTGTGCCAGGATTGTTTGGATGGTTCCAGGAGATAATTCATGTTTAGTGCTTTGCACAAGGCCCAGCACACAGTAAGCACTTATTAAATGATGAAAGGTATCTTGCTGTTTTTTTTTTTTTTTTTTTTTTTTTTTTTTAATAGGCCCTTTCTGCTTCTGTTTGTACCTACATGGCAGAGTGGCTACAGGGTTAGTGTTTCTCTGTCCTCACCCCCAAATTTTACTCACCAAAGGTTTAATTATGGAACACACTATAGTAAAAGGGCCTAAGAAAAAATGGGACTGACCTGCCGTTAATAGTCCCCTGCTCACACACCCCTCCCCATTATGTTCACTCCAGTGCTTTAATTATTGTACCAGTGCCCCCAGCTCTTGCCTCTGTGTTTCAAAGCCACTGAGCCCCCTGCACTCCAGCTCAGATGTGGAGCCTGTGCTTCTTTGATGCCCCTAGTGGCTGTTTCTTGGGCACTGTAAACTCAGCATATCCAACCTGAATTCCCTCTCCTCTCAGACCCAGTAACCACCATCTTGGCGAATGCACGAACATTGACTTGGTTGCCCAAACAAGAAACTTGGGAGTTGCTCTTCTTCCCCAGCCTTCCCATGTCCAGTCAGTGGGCAAGAAGGACGGAGCTGCCATTTCATAGAAATTTCATTTCGTAGAAACACCATTTCATTGGCCCATATTGGTCTCCCATCTGATGGGCATTAAAAGATCCCCTCAGCTCCTGGAGGTGGTGGCCTTTTCTGACAAGGTTGAGTTGTGTTTCTTTGTTTTTTTGTTTGTTTGTTTGTTTGTCTGTTTGTTTGTTTTTTGAGACGGAGTTTCGCTCTTGTTACCCAGGCTGGAGTGCAATGGCGCGATCTCAGCTCACCGCAACCTCTGCCTCCTGGGCTCAGGCAATTCTCCTGCCTCAGCCTCCTGAGTAGCTGGGATTACAGGCACGCGCCACCACGCCCAGCTAGTTTTTTGTATTTTTAGTAGAGACGGAGTTTCACCATGTTGACCAGGATGGTCTCGATCTCTCGACCTCGTGATCCACCCGCCTCGGCCTCCCAAAGTGCTGGGATTACAGGCTTGAGCCACCGCGCCCGGCCTTGTTTGTTTGTTTTGAGATGGAATCTAGCTCTGCCGCCCAGGCTGGAGTACAGTGGCATGATCTCAGCTCACTGCAGCCTCTGTTTCCCAGGTTCAAGCGATTCTCCTGCCTCAGTCTCCTGAGTAGCTGGGATTACAGGCGCCTCACCACACCCAGCTAGTTTTGTATTTTTAGTAGAGTTGGGGTTTCACCTTGTTGGCTAGCCTGGTCTCGAACTCCTGGCCTCAGGTGATCCACCTGCTTTGGCCTCCCAAAGTGCTGGGATTGCAGGGTGTGAGCCACCATGCCTGGCCATGACGAGCTTGAGTTAAGTCATTAAGGATTAATATATGTAAACCTATGTAACATACATATTAATAAGGGCAAGAAGACATTATGGACTTGGCTAGACTGCAATGGCCGTGGCTGTGGCATGAAAGCCTGGCTTTCAGGGGACCCAGTTCTGTGATTTTAGCCTAGTAAAGATTGGCTGAGTTGTTTTTTTTTTGTTGTTGTTGTTGTTTTTGTTTTTTTTTTTTTGAGACGGAGTTTCGCTCTTGTTACCCAGGCTGGAGTGCAATGGCGTGATATCGGCTCACCGCAACCTCCGCCTCCTGGGTTCAGGCAATTCTCCTGCCTCAGCCTCCTGAGTAGCTGGGATTACAGGCACGCGCCACCATGCCCAGCTAATTTTTTGTATTTTTAGTAGAGACAGGGTTTCACCATGTTGACCAGGTTGGTCTCGATCTCTTGACCTTGTGATCCACCCGCCTCGGCCTCCCAAAGTGCTGGGATTACAGGCTTGAGCCACCGCGCCCGGCCCCAAGATTGGCTGAGTTGTTAAATTCTTTCAGAAAAATTAGATGGTATCAGTGGCTTAGAACATCCCATGTGGGAGAGTGGCCATCCTGGGCATTTCAGGAGGCAGCACACATACCACACACCCTAGAAGAGGCTGGGAAGGGCATTTATTAGTGCTCCCTTCAGGTTGAGTTTATTGTCAGACACCTGTCATTGTGATTTCATTTGATGATAGAATCATATTTGTGATGGCCACCAAATTTACCTATGTGTTTTTTTTTTTTTTTTTTTTTTTTTTTTTTTTTTTGAGACGGAGTTTCGCTCTTGTTACCCAGGCTGGAGTGCAATGGCACGATCTCGGCTCACCGCAACCTCCGCCTCCTGGGTTCAGGCAATTCTCCTGCCTCAGCCTCCTGAGTAGCTGGGATTATAGGCACGCGCCACCATGCCCAGCTAATTTTTTGTATTTTTAGTAGAGACGGGGTTTCACCATGTTGACCAGGTTGGTCTCGATCTCTCGACCTTGTGATCCACCCGCCTCGGCCTCCCAAAGTGCTGGGATTACAGGCTTGAGCCACCGTGCCCGGCCACCTATGTGTTTTTTTAACCTGAAGAAATAAAGCAGCAGCTTAAAAAAAATCTTGATTGTTCTCAATGACCAGTGACAGCAGCACGTGGCTTTTTAGCAGTCTGTGTAGAGTGATCTAAGAGTTACAAATGTGAGTCTGTTTTTCAGGCATTGCAGTTGTTAGGTGGTAAATCAAAAGTGGAATTTAGGATGTGCAGTAATTGGTGCCTCTTCTTTTGCTGTAAAATGTATTTTACTGATATATTTCAAAAACAGGTTTAGTAACTTGCAAAATCTAAATAAATTTATTTACATCTTAATAAAAGAACTCAACAGTCATTTCCTTTAAAATAAAGTATGTTTTTAGCTATTAGAATGAGAGGCTATTTGGTGGGGTTAGGTGGCTCCTGCCTGTAATCCCAGCACTTTGGAGGCTGAGGCAGGCGGATTGCTTGAGCCCAAGAGTTTGAGAGCAGCCTGGGCAACATGGTGAAACCCCATTTCTACAAAAAATTAGTCAGATGTGGTAGCGTGCACCTCTATCCCAGCTACCTGGGATGCTGAAGCTGTAGTGAGCTGTGATTGCACCATTGCACTCCAGGTTGTGTGACAGAGTGAGACCCTGTCTCAGAAATAAAGAAG